TCAACACAGGATAATTTCCCTTTTGATTAACTCAAAGTCATCTGGTTAGAGACTCAATTACATCTGTGAAATCTCTTTTGCCAAATAAAGTAATATTACCAGAGAGGTGGTATTCCATCATACTCATAGGACCTGCCCACACTCAAGGGGAAGGACTTACACAAGGATGTGGATCCCTGGGGATCATCTTAGAATTCTGTCTCCCATAAATGTCTCTTCCTGTCTGTCACAGACTTGAGGCTCAAGTTCAGTATTCTATACACTGACTTGTGTCAAGGGCCTTTGAATTTTACACAACACCTTCATACTTACTATTTCATTTAATCCTTAACACAGCTTCCTGAGAAATATGCTCCTATCTCCAATTTTCCAGTGAGGAAACAGGAGGACAGAGAGCTTAAAAGAAGTCCAAGGTCACATAGCCAGAAAACAGAACTTGAAACCCAGGTCTTCTGACACTAAATAGAATGCTCTTTCTTCTACATCACTCTTCTGGAACAACCACTGAAACCTGAGCTCAGCTTGGAGCCTGACTTAGTTAGGGAGAAAGTTACCTCTCACCTCATCTGTGTCTGCAGTACAACTTAGAACTTAAAGACATAGACATTACAGCCATTCTGCCTGGCTTCAAATTCCGGCTCCAACATTTACAAGCAGCACAGTCCTGTATAAATTTCTTAATTTTTCAGTCCCTCAATGCTCTTATCTAAAAAAATGGGAATATTAGAAGTATGAATCTAATCAAGTCGTTGTATACCTCACATGAGTTAATGCGAGAAAAGTATTTGGCACATTGAAGTACTACATTGGTCTCGGATATTATTATTATTGATCTGATGATTATATTTTGACTAATGTAGAGTCTGGATTACTACTGTCCTTTCGGTTGACCCATCATCTCATCGTTCTGGGCTATAGTTTATCTACAAAATTTAATTTTATTTAAATGTCAAAAATATAATTTATAATGAAAGGATACATTTAAAAAATTTTAAGAGTCTCTCAACCACAGGAGAGACTAAAGAATTTGTCAAGTAAAAAAAAATATGTTTTATGGATTTATTTTTTTAAGTGAGGGAAACATAGCAGATTCAGTTGACTGTATACACTTGAGAATAGAAACATAGAAACATTTTTAGTATCCTATCAATTTTTAAATGGGCCTTAATCCTGTATTATGACCAAGAGAAAAAGAGATGTAAACAGGAACAGAAAGCTGAAGGAAAGAGATAGAGGATGAAAGGAGCTTGAAAGAAAGGTAGAAAGGATGAAATGAAAGAAAATAGAACATCACAAAGAAAAAGAGAAGGAGACAGAGGCAAGAACAGAAAAGACTACTGAGAAGTAGAGAGGGCAGGTAAGAAAAAGGGGGAAACATTGCTAAAATGTACTGAGTGCCTCCTATCTGCCTGGCAGAGCTAGGGGCATAGGTTATCTCACTGACTCCTCAGAACGATTCAATAAAGTTGGTATTATTGTCATCATTTTACTTATGAGAAAAAGTGACTAAAAGAGTTCAACTTTTCCAAGATTAATTATGTTTGTATACAGACATTAGAAACTGTATCTTTCCAGAACCTACTGTAATGTGCTGCTCCCCTGTCCCTAAAGACAAATGATAGATAATTACTCCTCACAGCTTATTGGTCCAGCTTCTAACGGTGCTTCTGTCCCACTGAGAAAAGACTCCTTAGGTGGGCTTGGGTGGTACTGCTTCTTAACACTACCTTAGAATGTTATTGGCTTGGGTCAAGACTTTTAAATTCTAGATAAAGCAGATCCCCAAATGACTGATACCTCAGGATAAATCACTCTTCTGAGCCTCAGTTTCCTCATTTGTAAAATGTATGCTTTGAACTAGATAAATTTTCAAGTTCTAAAAATCTATACTTAATGTCATTCTGCCAGATTTCAAATTGTTACTTTTGGACTATTAGATGTCTCCAAGCCATTCAAGGTCAAGGCATGAAGCAGTAAGGTGGGAAACAATCTCCTTAGGAGTAGCAAGGATCTAACAAAATGAAATAGACAAAATGAACTAACAAGCAAAATAGAGATAGATTCATAGATAGAGAGTAGGCTGACAGCTGTCGGGGGTTGGTTGGGGGATTGGGTTAGGTATTTGGAGGGACTGATCAAAAAAGAACAAGAAAGAGAAAGAATTCATGGACACAGACAAGAGTGTGGTGATTGCTGTGGGGAGGAGGCGGGGAGAGGTGGAGGAGAGCATAGGGGGCATAAATGGTGATGGAAAGAGACTTGACTTGGGTGGTGAATACACAATACTGTGTACAGATGATGTGTTGTGGAATTGTGCACCTGAAACATGTATAATTCTTTTAACTAGTGTCACCCCAATAAATTCAATAAAAAGGAAGAAAAATTAAATGGAAACCCAGAAAATAGCTGTTTTCACACAGACAAAAAACTGTAATGTGGATTGGGTTGTAGATATATCTAGTTTCTCAGTTAGGACTACTACTCAGGGTTTTGCAGGTTGTTTATTGCACAACTTTAGGAGGTGATGTTCAAATATACATTCATTGGTCATGGCTCTGGCTCCAGGAAGCCAATACAAAGACCAATGGTAAAGGTCACAATGAAGAAAATTGTGGCTCAGTAGAAAAAACAAATTTTGTAATGTTAAAGTTTACTGTTAACACTGTGAAAATGTTATCTTTGGGAGTTTTTAGTCAGAGACCAAATGATAATAGGGGAATTCTATTACATGAGAGATTAGAGAGTACATCAGTGACATTCACGATGAGTTTTTGGATGCATTCAAAGCTAGCTAAGTGATCTTCTTAAAGTCTTTAAGTCTTAGTTTCCTGAGTTCATACTATAATGGCCATAATAATAGTACATACTGCTGTCAATATATAGATGTTTGTGTATCTGTGTTAATCTATAATTTCCTTCTTTCCTTCCTTCTTTCCCTCCCTCCCTCCTTCCTGCCATCTGTCCTCTCTCTTTCTCTCTCTATCATCATCATCATCTACCTTGGAACAATGTCCCATACATGATAAAAACTCAATAAATACAAACTATCATTATGTTCATCTCTGTAGAACTATTGAAAGATGCTTCCAGAACAGCAGAACTTTCTTTGATCTCCATAGGTACCATGCTTGTCACCATGCTTGCAGGCAAAGAATGGTGGCATTCTTAACTGTAGCCTAAGCACGTAACATATAGTACAAAATAATGATTGTGGCCCACCAATTTCTGAACGATCCTCTAACAGCTCTATTCTAAACCTTTGTAATGGAACTTCTCCAGAATCCAGTATTAGCAAATTCACTCCCCACCATGGCTTGTAGAATGACACAGCATCTATTTCGAAATGTTCACTCTGTACCATGGATATTTCCTTACTCAGAAATTAATTTCATCAAATCAGCTTGAAAATTCTATTGTCAAAAAGCATATGTCTCCTGAGGGAGAGCCACTCATTTCTTTTCTTGTTGAGATGCAGATGTACCTGAAAAAACAAATCTGCGATTCTCCTCCACAAGCTGCAAAGATGCAGCTGTCAAAAGTAATCACTACATCAGAAGAATTGAGTGAGTAAAGAACAAAAGTGTCCTTGGCTGCTTTATGAGAACAACAGTAAACTAGGTTACTTATGCTAAATGGAGAAAGAGACCAAGGAAAGCCAACAAAGCTTACATGTCTGCTACTTAGGCCATTGTCCTCAGTGTGGCTCCATGCAAGCTACAGTCATAGTTACCTAAAGTACTTTGCTTGTGCTACCCTCCCCACCTCATTAAGGGACCCTTCTCCACCTCTTCTCATTTCATGCATTCATTCATTCAAAAGCTTATTCATTCAACAGTTGATTGGTCCTCTTCTATATATAACTGCTTGGTCTCAGAGGATTTCTAATCTGGTAGAGGCACTAAAATAACATGAGGACATCATTTTCTCCCCCAAAAAATATTTTCTAAATGTTCCAATCCATAATCTCTTTTAGTGAGTGTTTTGATCTCTGATAGAATTTTATATTGTTTATTATTTGCCCCATCTGGGTGACTTTTTTTTTGTTTTGTTTGGTTAATCCTCACCCAAGAATATTTTTCCATTGTTTTTAGATAAAGTGGAAGAGAGGGAAAGAGGGAGAGAGAGAGAAAGAAACACTGATGTGAGAGAGACACATTAATTGGTTGCCTCTTGCATGACCCCAACTAGGGCTGGGGAGAGAACCTACAACCCAGGTATGTGCCCTTGACCAGGAATCAAACTTGAGACCCTTTGGTCCATGGGCTAACACTCTAACTGCTGAGCCAAACTGGCCAGGGCCCATTTGGGTAACTTAATTCCGCAAATAATCTTCCGTTCTTTAAAGAGAGGGGCCCTGCCTCAAGCAGCAACTGCTCTCACCTGAGCAGTATCTGGCTCCCCTGCATCCAAAAACTTAATCTCACCTTGTGGTCTTCATCTGAGCTAAATGTGTTTCCCTCTTTTTTAGGGCAACTTTCTCTTTCTCCCTCTGTGTTCTCTTCAGATTTGTGGGGTTAGTAAAATCTTAATTATCTTTTTAAGACACAAAAGGGAATTTTCCTATGGAACAGTTTTTTAGAGGCAGTCCAAACTCCTACCTAAAGCCCTTATAAATGGCTGCTAAATCTATAAATGCACAAGTGTCTATAACATTGTATTGTTTGCTAATATTATGTAAACACCATTATTTTCTATACATTTTATTATTTGCTCGTCAGCTCATAGGGTTTTTCTGTCCAACCAGACTGAAGGCTCCATGGAACAAAGACATCTGTACCCTCATCACAGTGCCTGGACCACTGCTGAATGTGGTAGCCATCAACAAACACAAAATATCGGTTGAAATTCAATACCTAATGAGAGATCTGCAAAGCTTTCCTTTAATAGCTTTCTCTTTGAGGTACAGAACTTTTGTAGAATTATTATTCTCCAAAGGTACACATGTTTCATTGATATGGCAGATTTACTTTCTATATAAGTCTAAGATTTCAGTTCTTTACCTGAGTCTGCCATCCTCTGCTGCAGCACCTCCGGGTATAATCTTCGTAATAAATATGCCAGGGTCATCTCCAATATGGGGATTATCTGTCCCTCCAGCAATACTGAATCCCAGGCCAGAATTCCCCTGTAGAAACAATAAGTAGACATTAAATGATGTGGCTGTCACCTAAACCTGGTTCCCCTTGCACTCTGTGTTATCATTTTACTGCTTAAATGGCAATCAGGTGATAATAGTCCTGTGTGAAAAGCTATAAAGTGCTCTGTCAGCAGACAAAGGAAGGTCAGGAAAAACACTCAAGTTTGTCCCTGCACTGTAAGCATTCAAGGGTCGTATAGTTTTACTTTTAAGAAATGCTTCCTTGATAGAGCAATTAAAATGATAATTTTAAAGTAGAAAATAAGGGCTTACAAAATGTATAATATAAAAAATAAAAAAAATTGTCAATTGTAAAAATTATACATAAATATGAAAAAAGAATGGAAGGAAATGAGTTACATGAAAATATTTGAGTAGGTAGAATACTGAATTTTGGGTGTTTTCATTTGATTATTTTCAGTGTTGTTCTGATAATGGTTATCCATCAAATAACTGTGTTCCTATGTACCAAGGAACTTTGACCTCTGAAGTCAGGTTTCTGTCTAAGGTCATAATAAACGTAAGGTACTTTTTGGTTATAAACAGTTTTAATTTGCAGTAGATATAAAAAAGGAAGGCATTAATGCTGCAGCAGGTAAATTTGAATAGTTTATATTCTAATAAAGCTTTCATCCTTAGTGTACATACAACCTTTAAAAATTTGTACGTAAGACAGTTAAAGACTCAACAAAATTTACAAATCATCTTAATATATTTCTTATTTACATATTCTCTTAATATCTATCTCCAGTGCTACATTACATTTCCATATTATATTCTGATTTTCTTTCCTAATTTGCATATTTTAAATTGTTTCCATACAGCTAGGCAGTTTTTATAATTACCCATTTTATTATTATTTTTAATAATTACTCATTTTAAATGACTAAATAATATTTCATCCAGGTTGTACATCATCATTTATTTAGAGTCCCCTGTCACTGGATATTTAATTTCTCCATATACTCTTATGAAAAATAGAGATTACTAAATTTATGATCACTTGATTAAGTTCTGCTCTTGGGTAAAGAGAGATAAAGACTAAGAACTTAGTAGTTAATGCACACAAAGTAATTAGGGCACGCAATTAGTCAAAAAATTCAATGTTAAGATAAAGTCAGCTATAAATTGACAGTATACCATGGCAAACATCATGGTAATGTTTAACAATTTTTATGGATTGAATTAATAAAACTCTAAATTCCAGAGGGTTTTCTTTCACAATTGTACATTTATGTTGAAACATTTAAAATAATAATTCAACTACAGTAACTAAAATCTCATGTCTTTATACTTCTAACATCTCTTGGATTTGGTTTATTCTTTGAAAAATTTCAATATTCATTGACCAGAGATTACTTAGTAGCAGTCATGTAATCCTGAATTTAATATTTATTAAACTAGCTCTGGGCCTGGCACTAGACTAAACCCTGCAGCTGCAGTACTGAAAATGTCAATTGATGAGGCTCAGGAAAGGGAAGTACAGAGCACAGGTATGGCTACCAGGAAAACCAAATGTAGGGACTTTCCCTAAAGGTGAATAGCAGTTTGTTACTGTTAAGAGGGTCAGTGTGATGTATCAGTGAAAATTCTGCTGCATATGATGTCTGAAATTTTGTTGCCCACATTTTCTTCTAGGATTTTTACGGATTCAGGAGTCACATTTAAATCTTATCCATTTTGAGTTTACTTATGTGTATCGTGTAAGTTGATGGTCTAGTTTCATTTTTTTGCATGTAGCTGTCCAATTTTCCCAACACCATATATTAAAGAGGCTGTCTTTACTCCACTATATGCTCTCGCCACCTTTGTCAAATATTAACTGAGCTAAGGCAACAGAAACAAAGGAAAAAATGAACACATGGGATTATATCAAACTAAAAAGCTTCTGCATAGCAAAAGAAACAGCCATCAAAATGGAAAGGGAATTCACTGTATGGTAGACCATAATTGCCAATGATACATCAGATAAGGGGTTAATTTCCAAAATATATAGAGTACTCATACAACTCAACAAAAGGAAGACAAAGAACCCATTAAAAAAATGGGCAGAGGACCTAAAGAGACACCTCTCCAAACAGGACATACAAATGGCCAAGAGACATATGGAGAATGCTCAACATCACTAATCATCAGAGAGATGCAAATTGAAACAACAATGAGGTATCACTTCACACCTGTCAGAATGGCCACCATCAACAAATTATCAAACAATAAGTGCTGGTGAGGGTGTGGAGAAAAGGGGACTCTAGTACACTGCTGGTGGGAATGCAGACTGGCAGCCACCATAAAAAACAGTATGGTGTTTCCTCAAAAAATTAAAAATTGAATTGTCATTTGACCCAGTGATCTCACTTCTAGGAATATATCCTAAGAAGCCTGAAACATCAATCAGAAAGAATACATGTACCTCTATGTTCATAGCAGCACTATTTACAATTGCTAAGATCTGGAAACAGCCCAAGTGTTCATCAATAGATGAGTGGATTAAAGCAGTGGTACATATACACAATGGAGTACTATGCAGTTGTAAGAAAGAAAGATCTCTTATCCTTTGAGACGACATGGAGGGACCTGGAAAGTATTATCCTAAGCAAAATAAGCCAATCAGAGAAAGAGAAATACCGTGATCTCAGGTATTTTTGGAATATAATGAACAAGGTGGGCTGATGACAAAATAGACCCAGAGACATAGAAAGGAGTATGGTTCAGACTGACAAAACTCAGGGTAGGGAGGCGGAGGGGATGGAGGTGATGAACCAAAAAACTTATATGCATGTATGCATAACTGATGGACATAGACAACAATGCAGGGGGGTGAGGGGGGCAGGATAAAGAGGAGGGTGTCTAGGGGAAAAAAAGAAGAAACATCTGTAACAAATATAAATTAATAAAAATGGGAAAAAAAGGAGAGTCACTGTGAGAGCTGGCGAGGAGGCGAGAATGTTCCAGGCATGTGGAAGAACATATGTAAAACCCTGAGGTGAAAAAGGGGATGCCAGGTCCAAGACACAGACAATAAGACTGGAACACAGAAAGGAAGGAAAATTAGATTAGATGAGTCTTTATTGCGAGATTCTCCAGAGCAGAATGTATATAAATCCATTTTTGGTTTTAAGTACCTATTGACATCAGATGATTGTGTCAGTATTGGGTGAGTATCTCCTGTCTTAAAGCTAAAGCTACAGGGCTTAAGAGAGAATGACTTTGCTTTTATGAAATTCAAGGCAGAGTGAAAAAGGAAGTGATAGTCTGGCATCTGTTGGTCAACTACATTGTCATGTGTACAGCTACCAAGATACCATTGAGGTGATTTATAAGGCAGTTTATCTAAGATTTAGGGATTTTGGAAGGAAAGGATGAGAAGATATGATAAGAAGGATGATAAGTATCTTCATTGTAATTTGGGTCTAGCTCCAAGAACATCAACTGGAGTATATTGGTTTTACTAGAGTTGGTACCTCAGGGATAATAAGTTCTTGATTAATGGGGGTAGGGAAGGAACCAAGCAGAGACTGGGAAATACTCAAATGCTTTCTCCTGACAATATCAATAATTTTGGAGAAAGCACTCAAAACGTTGTCATTTGACAAAGGTATTCATGATCTAGCTCTTAACCTATTTTCCTTATTCCTAGTTTTGCACTTTCACCCCCAGGAGCCCTGAACTAAACTGCTGGCTCTTTCCTGCATACTCCATACTTTAACTCCTCTCTGGGCCTTTGCTCATGCCCTTTTCTCTACCAGAACCTCCCATCTTCCCCTTGACTGGTCCATTTTTCTAAGATAGGGTTCAGATGGCATCTGTTCCGGAAAATATTAAATGATCACCCCAACTCCTCTTCTCTGGGTAAGTTACTCTTCTTTTGAGTTTTTGTAGATTTCTATGTTTATCTATGTAAGGCACTGTGTGATTCTGAAGTTGTATGTTTATGACTCTATCTTTACTTCAAACTGAGCTTGCAGAAGGCAGGAATTATGTTCATATTTGTTTCTTGGTGCCTTGTTTGCACATAGTATTGTTAAATAAATATTTGATGAATGAAGTAACAGACAAACAAACTTACCGAGAATGTTCAAACTCTAACAGGAAGACTCAGAAAGAAGACAATAAAAGTCCACAATGTGGTCAGGAATGTCATGTAGAAGTAAAAGCAATTTTGTTCTCTGTGGCTACAATAATAAAAATGGAAAGTGCAGGTATTTAAATTGTGGCTTAGGTGCATAGTGTTCCATTGTGAGTATGTACCATAGCTTTTTTATCCACTCATCTATTGATGGACACTTAGGCTGTTTCCAGATCTCAGCGACTATAAATAGTGCTGCTATGCTGCTGTAAGAAAGAGAGATCTCTTATCCCTTGAGATGACATAGAGGGACCTGGAGAGTATTATCTTAAAAAAAATAAGCCATTTAGAGAAAGACAAATACCACATGATCTCACTTATTTGTGGAATATAATGAACAAAAAAAATAGACCCAGAGACATAGAAAGGAGTACCGTTCAGACTGACAAATCTCAGGAGTGGGGTGGGGGGGTGGGGTGGGGATGAGATAAACTAAAGAACTTATATGCATGTATGCACAACCAATGGACGTAGACAACAATGCTGGGGAGGGGCATGGGATAGGAAGAAGGGTGTCTGGGGGGAAAAAGGAGAAATATCTGTAACGAAAATAAATTCATTAATTTAAAAAAAATTGTGGCTTAGGTAAAGGATGATGATACAGAGCTGTCCAAATTGGGGATAGGCTGTTTTGGACAGGAGGGAGAGCTCTTTGCTCTGTGGGCAGCTGGCTAGTCACTGGACATGAGGGACCCAAGCTGTTTTTGCCAACAAAGAAAAAGGAATGAATTAGGAACCCTTTGAAGGGGAGGTAGATCACTGTTGTATTTTTAAAACTTATTCTGTGAATTGATAGATCTTTGAAATAATGGCTTTGGTGACAATGCAGCAACATTTAACCAATGTTTTTAGAATTTATGGA